TTTGTTTTGTGTTTTTTAAATATGTGGATTATTATGGTATAGAAAAGTTATTTGTGAAAATTTATGTATGGGTGGGTAGCTACGAGACCAAAGCTCATTTGAAGTTCATGTTGTTGAGTAGTACAAAAGAGAGGGCATCTTTTGGCTAATTATTCCTTGATTTAGTCTTATTTTAAAAGCGCCTTTTTGTACTCTGCGTGAACAATGTTACTAATTATTTTTGCTTTGCGTCGTCACAATCGCGATTTGGTGAAGTATATTTTCGAAATCGAAAAGTCGATATCACGGTGACGTCGTAAAAACGCAGATATAACAGTTTTCTGTTGTTTAAATGTAAATTCAAAGTAAGCTACTTCAGGTTGGCAGGTAGCTTCGTCACTCTGATTATCAGTTCCAAATATAGTCACAATTCGGAAACGAGATATTAAAACGCGTATAGTATAATATTGCTATGATTAAATGCAGAGTCATGCCACGTCTTTGATGCGCAAAACTGCATGCTTTTTGTATATCTAGTCAAAACTGAATTGTAATTGTGAAAATGTTAATGTATAAATGGATCTAGAAAAAGGTTTTCCTCAGCCCTGTATTTAAATTCTATTAATCTGGCACGTTGGGATAATGCCTGTTAGTGTTAGTAGATGACATATAACTTCGAATTTCTAGTTAAACAACATATCAGTTACCTCCAGGACAAATAGTATATAAAACTGTGATTGAACTCAAGATACATACACAGTTCGTTCATAGCGTTAACATTAAACAATGTTATATAGTCTGTGATATGATTTTGTATTGAAGATTGTTATGTGACAGCCCTAAGCTCACAAGATAATATTGACAGCTCTAAGCTGTGCCCATATAGGGAAAGTGCTGACAGCGCGCGTATTTGACACTACTCGTGTCTCAAGTGTTATGTGATGCTACTGTTGCCGCACCCATTTAGCTGAAGAAATCTGATGTCTCGTGTACAGCGACACACCTAATGTAAAATAGTTATAGCCATTTTATATTGAGTTTCTTCTACCATCTGTATACCAACAATTATATAGAACTTGGCTTAAAGGTCCCGTTACCAGGCCATAAAAGATAATAAAAAAATTTGATTGACATTGACAACCTCGCTGTTGATAGCTAAGAAGATAATAAACAAATGCGACTTGCTTTAACCCAATTTTAAAAGTTTCATCGAATCATATTTTGGTATTGAATCTATACAAAAATTTAATCTATCTAAAAATATAGATACATATATCAATCTGATTACGCCTGGCACATTTTTTTGGAAAATATCTGCCTAAAATATAATTTTTCTTTCTAACCAACTGTGCAATCCTTTAATTCTTCTTTGATGTATAAGGCAAGTAACAATATATTTGTTACCATAATTTAGTGTCTTAAAAAGGAAATTTAGTTGTAGCCAATTTATGTAAATATGTATTAACCATGTGTCCTATTTAGTAATCTGAATAAAAATAAATGAGTTAAATTTAACATTAGTATATAATATTTTAACTATTACATGACATACAAATGTAAATTAGTATTGTCTATTTTGATTACAGCTTAAAGAAAATTGAATGCACAAAACGATTCCTACCACTACACACACAATCATAACATAACACATCAAATTACATAGCCTTTTTTAGAGATAAATGCAAACTGGAATATTCTATTCTGCTTCTTGATCTAAAGTATTATATTTATTTAAATTATACATTATTATAACAGGTACTGTAATTTATAAATGGTACATAAGTTTTATACTAAATGAGTTTTATTTTAATTGTGACATTTTTTAGGTGACAAATGTGACTGAGATCTAATCGAGTTAGAAAAGCAGTAGTGATTTATCAGATCTGAGGAATCCCTGAACTGAAGACGAAGAACATTATATAAGTAGCATAATAGAAGAAAAACTTAAAAAAAAGAAAAATTAAAGAACATCAGAACAAAGTACTTACTGATAGAGTACTAAAGGACTGATGCTAGTCATAAAATATTTAATACTTATATGGTAGACATGCTATTTGCATTAAAATTTAGTACAATATACTGATAATACTACTTTCTGGATCTCCGATTATCCAATGCCAAAATGGGTCGGCAATGCATCTTGTTTAAATGTTATATAAGTGGAACTTGCCATACAGTAGCTGTTATTAGCATTATATTATTATAACAAATAAAGTGGGTCTCGATAAATCCTGATGCTAGTAAATAAAGAATATCTACTTATATAGGAAAGTAAGAATTGTCAAAATTTATTTCTCATAGTCAGAATAAATGTTTATTGAACAACGTAATTATTTTTTTTTATTTCAAAATGATCTCAAAATTTACGAAGTTAACCAAGGTGCTGAATTATTTTGGACAAATTGTAATTTGCAAAGACAATAAAAATATATTAATACATTGAGCGGTACAAAAGATCTTAAAATTAGTTTTTTATGTAATTCTCAATAGAAGTCAAAAGTTTTATATTTCTTCTGCTAAAGACTTAAAGTTAATGGAAAAAATGATTATAAAATAATATAATAAATAAAAAATGATCATTTCATGAAATCACTTTCAACTGTGCAAAACGCCAAATGTAGCTGTTGTTAGTTTATATAAATTGTAAATAAGTTAAGTCATATATTTTACGTTTAAAACCGTTCAAAAAGTTTTATTTAAATGTGTACTAATCGTGTACAGACTATACTTTTTTTTCTTTTTTGGCAGAGACAATTGCCATGTCTTAAACACGCATGATAATATTATTTTAACAGTGGAGTACTTAACAGATAAATTATAACAGTATAAAATTCTAAACTGGGTTTCAGTGCCATCTAGCGGTCTGGTATTGGTACTATTATAAACACAGTGATCTCACATTTCATTATAGTTTTGTTGTATCTTTTTGAAAGTAGATGACTATTTTATAAATTTTATAAACTTTATAACCACAGTACAAATAAAGAATATCTTTTAATACACCTATAATTACTATATTTGTATGTAATTATAAATACTTGTATGTGTATATATTTTTTTTAGAATAAATTAAATATAAAGCTATCAATAAATGCTTTAAAGTGCAAAAATACTCCAAGTTATAGGTCATAATTGAGATTTCACTAAACGATTAGTTACTACTTTCCTCACCGTGTTATTAATTATAAAAACAACAATTATATAATTATATTTTTATTATACTGTAATAAGAACAATTTTAAAATAATACCTACTAGTGTTTTCCTGTGTCGGTGCCCGTGAATTGACAAATATACTTCATCTATATACTAATAAGTATTATAAAGTTGAAAAGTTTGTTTGTTTGAACACGCCAATCTCAGGAACTGGTTTAAATTGATATTTTTTTTCGTGCTAGTTAGATTATGAATCGAGGAAGGCTTTAAGGCTATAAAACATCACGCTACACCTATAGGAGCGAAGAGTAGTGTGAAAAAACGATGAAAATTTTCCGTTGTTTTGGAAATGGTTTAAGATACCTAAAAAATATGTATAAAGAATAATTCCTCTTTAATGATAAAAATAAATGTAACGCGACACATATATGATATAGAAGAATCAATTTCCGATAAAACCCAATTAAATTCTGGATATTAAATGGATGATAGGAATATCGAAATTCCATACAAGTCACAAAGCATCGTCCACCTAAAAAAGCGATGGAGTTTAATCGCGTTTCGGTTACAGTCTGTGGATTTCCGAATATCCTACGCGAAAAAGGTGAATATCGTTGAGATGTTGGCTGGCAAGTATCGCAAGTTCCTTCGAGTGAAACTTATGTTTGTCTGTCCTCCTCCTATATACATAAGAGTCGTTTGCTCTTCTTAAATTAAATGACATTGACAGTGCTAGCATGAACGTAGGTGTAAGCGTATGAAGGTTAGGTGTTTAATTAATCACGAAGATCAGAACCAGTGATTCGTGCAGTACGTCAGTTAGGATTTATAATGTTCTTGGAAAACAACAAATTATTCCACCATACATTCACAAAGTTGTTTACCAGATCATTTGTTCTCCAAGATTACATTACCTGACACACCTACGTACTTTATAATTTACACGTGCCACTGCCGAGAGCTTAAATAACAACAGAAATTAGTTAAGAAATTTAGAGGTCGTTGGTGGAATTGCAGCAATGTATGTACGATTAACAGGTCATAGTCTTGATCACCACGGTCCAAGATTTTTCTAATCAGCTTATAATTTTTCAGAGGAATGTTCGCCCTCGTATGGAAATCAGCTTCTTAAATGGGTGGTAGGAATATCGAAATTTCGTTCGCGGTCACGAACGAACGCCGTGAAGTGTAAAGTGAAAAATTTACAAGCCAAAAAAGGTCGACAGCACATCTTGTTTAGACGGCTAACACGAATTTCATGATTTTTTGAGCCCCCCCCCCCCCCCCCCGTCCTTGTCACAGGTGGTCACATTTCTGAAACCCCCCTCCCTAGTGTGACGTCACATGTTTTACTATTTCACGTAGAAAAATATTAAATTAAAACAGCAGTTCCGAAATTAGTTTTATTTCTTTATTTTATTTATTATAAATATTTGTCTACATCTCACTCTTTTAAATAAAACACTTTAACGGTTTAAAACGCGATATATTAGTTAAACTTATTTGAAATTGATTTTTAACTTCGGCCCAACGTTTCGGATGTTTTGCAGCAGCCGTGGTCACGGGGAGACTAAAAATCATTTTCAAATAAGTTACATCGCGTTTTAAGCCGTTGGTGTTTTATTGAAATGTGTACTACTCGCGTAAACTATAGACAGTATTACATCTCACTCTGCAAAAAAACATACTGAGGTAAACGGCCTATTCTATCTTGACGTAATCCCAGCTGTGGGAGCTATAAAGTCTCATCACTGTTATTATTAAGTAGCTGATTGAAAAACTCTGCATTAATACAATCTTTATTTTACATATTTTGTCATACATAAGGCAGGACCTACAAAGTACATGTAAAAACAGCGTGAAACATCAGAAACAGCATTTGGGGCGTCTGGTCTTCTTCTTCTTGGGTACCACACCCTTGCACGTCCTGCACGGACCACAGCAGGGTATGTCCTGGTCTTCGCATTGTATCTCCTTGCAGGAGTGTGTCGCCGGCTTTATTTTGGCCGGAGCTCGTGGTGTCACTAATTCCACCTGAAAAAAGCATATTTATTTTCAAACTCTATAATAAATTACGACACGGGCAGGAACTGAATCTGGACTCTGACGTCAAAGTCAAAGACTTCGAGACTTCCTCCATCTGTAGTCTCCGTAACCACAACTGCTGCAAAGCATCAAGTCAAAGAAGTTGCGGCGTAATTAAAAATAAAATGCAAATAAGTTTAACTAATATGTATCTCGTTTTAAACCGTTTATTTAAATCTTTGAGAATATCAATCGCAATTACCTCAATATTCCCAGTTCGGTTCGGCTCGTCGGTTTGCTTGCCGATTTTCAATATGAACACGTCCTTATCGGGGTGTAACACCTTCTGCGCCTGCACACCCTTCGGCGCGTCCTGGGGCGTCACGTTGCAAACATTACAGAGGTTTTCATGCGCCTCCGCCTTGCTGTACACGAGCTCGGAGTTCAGCGCGGTCCGGTTCGTCATAGCCTCACAGATGTCATCGGGGATCTTGGAACATTTGGAAATACATCGATAAGACCACATTGTAGCCGTGTATCGGGTTTTGAAACGTGATTAACACTAATTAACATACTTAAACAGAAACTAGGTTCTTAGAATTGGATAGTGTAGAGAAATCCGAGATGGACGGTATAACGTCATCGTTGTTACTTTGTTATTTTATGCTGTTAATAGAAAGCTAGACTTTTTTAAATTTGGTATGTATACTGTCTATAGTTTACGCGAGTAGTACACATTTAAATAAAATAACTTTAACAGTTTAAAACGCTTTGCAGCAGCCGTGGTTACGGGGAGACAGTCTCCCAGTGACCACGGCTGCTGCAAAGCATCCGAAACATCGGGCCGAAGTTAAAAATCATTTTTAAATAAGTTTACTAATATATCGCGTTTTAAACCGTTAAAGTGTTTTGTTTAAATTTGGTATGTATGTTACGATGTAACTAACTTTGTGTAGATTATCTTTTGTTAAAAAAAAACACTATTTACCGCGGTCTCAACGCGGAATTACAACTACTAGGAAGATTAAAAATGTATGTAGTTTGAGAATTTGACAATACGGGCGGGGCTTGAATCAGCATTCACGGCGCTGCTGCTTTAACCAATTGAGCTACCGTGCCGTGTGAAAAATATTAGTCGCCAAATAACTCAATAAAATCTTAGCTTAAACGGCAAAAAATCGAATTTCATCGCTAATCTGCGACAGTGTAGATACAAATGTTATGTTTTATACCTGTCATTTACATAGACGCCAAAAATTAATTGTGATGAATTAGCCGTTTAATAGTTCGCGACCCGGTATTCGATATTCCTACCACCCATTCAATATCTAGATTTCCAGACGAAGTCCAACATGTTACTAGAAAATGTTGGATCCGGTGGGATCGACACGTTGATTGTTAGCCATACATCTCTATCATTAGACCAACGAGCCCAGAATGTACTGAAATAAATAAATCCTACAACGCAAAAGCGATGGCCATGTTTAATCTCGTGTAATAACTAAGAGTGATTCAATATTCCGCGAACGAAATTTAGTGCTGGGGATTGAAATCGGAACCTATATAAAACAATAACAAATCATGTTTGATTAAACCATGTTAGTTTCTCGAAATGCCTTGTAACATTGTTAGTTTGTTTCTAATACTTTCCGAGTAATTTCCTTCATAATTCAACTCGATGAATTACAAATCCGTGAAACAAATTTAAAAACAACTAAATTGAATATTGTTGCAAGATTTCAACTTCAAATACTGTCTGTAGTGTACACATTGTAATAAAACACTAAGTCACGGGACCAGTGACCACGGCTGCAAAGCATACGAAACGTCGGCGCGTAGTTAAAATAATTTATAAATCGCGTTTTAAACCGTTTTAAACAGTGTTTTATTTAAATACCTTTCGTGTCATAACATGAAACATAATTTTTACTTCAATATATAAATATATTTATTAGTTTATTCAAATCATCTATCTCAAAATCAGTGTAACACTGTTTTGCAAAAAGCTTTTTGCATGAAATAATTGTTGTTTTTAAGTTGTAAGTAATTTTTTTTTGTTGAATTTAACGGCTATTCAAATAACGTTATATATGACAGTAAATAAAAAACTGTTTCCTTTCTTTCTATAGGTGAAACTATATCATACAACGCAATAAATAGACAAGCCTTACAATACTATATAGGTTTTCAAAACTTTTGCAATTTAATAACTGTAATTTAAATGCTAAGTAAAATAAACCAAGTAATGTAATTCGCGTTTTAAACCGTTAAAAAGTATTTTAATTTGTATAATATTAAATGCTGTTAATGGGTATGGTAATAAATAATGTAAATAAAACACTTTAACGGTTTAAAACGCGATATATTACATAATAAATAAATAATGTATATATCACCCGTCAAAAGCGTGGGTTTATTATGTTTATTGTTCATGAACATCAACACGTGAACTGTACCTGAAAATTGAGCCTATTAGCTCCAGCCCCACCACCACTTTCCCCTGGTAATCCGCAGGTTTCTGAGCATACAGACTCATCGTCTTCACAAGTGCACTGATTTTGAAGTTTCAGCTGGGAAGCGGTCAGCTTTGGTGGTTTGGATGTGCTCTTTGGTACGCGTATTTTCACCTGCAGAAGTTACATATCTATACTAATAGATAAAGCTGAAGAGTTTGTTTGTTTGAAAGCGCTAATCTCAGGATCTACGGGATCGAATTGATATATTCTTTTTGTGTTAGTTAGAACATATATCGAGGTAGGCTATGGGCAAAAATCATGTCTTTTTAAATGATCTATAAAAATGTCCGTGACACTATATGTCTATCTCTGAAGATTAACTTGCAAGAACGTCGGGACCCGAACGACGGGTCGCGACCGACGGAATGCGTCCGATGTCGATGTCGGATAGCAGTTTAAATTTATAAAGATGAAGAGGAAGTTTGCAAAAACACATTGAGATGCCCAAAATAGCTATTCTACGCGGACGAAGCCGCTGACACAGCTAGTACTAATATATAAAGCTAAAGAGTTTGTTTGTTTGAACGCGCTAATCTCAGGAACGTTACAGAAATAGATAAGTATATGAGGTTGTATAATCTTTTTGTTATTTAAGGGAATCCATTAGGCCATGGCTATATAAAAACTAGTCGAAGTCACATGAAAAGATCATATTTCTAAATCATAATGAATTAATCGTAATTCCAAAGAAATTGCTGTGTATCTAATTTAAACAAAATCAACAAGACGCCAAAGCTGATAAGTAATCGATGTGTTATATCGGTTTCGAGAAATAACCCCCCCGGAGTGTTAACTTGTAAATCCGTGTAAGTACTGTATTTAACTTTTAGCCTTACATAGTCGGTTTTTATGTTTTGTATAAACGAATTTGATTTAATTTTTAATTATAGAAGAGTATCTATCCTCTTAGGCGCACTTGCCGGTAGGTAAAATACCCCAGCCATATAAAATCTAAACAAGATGTGTTGTCTACCTTTGCTTGGATTTTCGGAAATCTGCAGACTGAAGCCGAAACGCGATTAAATTTTTTTATCTGTGTACGGTGGAATTTCGACATTACTACCAGTCACTTCTAGATCTAGACTTCCAAATGAAGTCCAACATATTTCAGGAAACTATAAATTGAGTAGAAAAATATTGGACAGAGCGAGCATCGAACCTATTGATATGCATTGCAACCCTTACACTAACGGGCTTATGAAAATTCGTGGTTTGCCTAATTTTGCTCAAATTGTGTTACGAATCGGCTGCATGTAGAGTTCTGTAGTATCATAGTGAATGGAAAATATAATTGATTTTGTATATTCCGGTGTTCGAATCAAGTGACAGATCTTTTTACCTTATGGATCCGAACCAAATCGTTTGTCATCTGGGACAGGACAGAAAAAGTGAAATTTCGTTTCCCCCGTGGGACATGGGGCGTACACATCTCTGTGTCCGCCTTACTCGTCGGTTTTACTTACAGGCAAGTATTTGATCAGGTGCCTTCCTCGGATTCGAACCCAGGTACTTCCGCGCTTAACGCGATGCTAGACAATACGTTTAAGATATTAGCTACAGCGACGTTCAGGTTAGGTGGTGGTGATATCTTACCTCGTTGCCGTTAAAAATAGCACCAATCTCTTCATAGGGCTTACGAGTTGTAGGCCCGCCAGTTTTTCCCATTGTGATCAGTTAAAACGGATTCATTTACTAAAAATTTTGTTACGATGCAGTTTCACTAAACTTATTGAAACATATCTTTGAGATTCTGAAAGATATTGACAGGATCTTAGTTTGCATAAGGTCAAGAATGAAAGAGTATGCATTCAACATTTACATAAAGCCAAAGGTACACGAGGACGTCAATTTTGCGAGGATTACTATAATATTTTATAAGTTGTGTGTACATAATACATATATGTATATTTTTCATCGTCCCTCAAAACGAAGATTAGAATTAGATTTGTTGATTGTGTTTTTTATTTGTATAATGAATCTACTATTAAATTTTGTCAAAATTAATATGGAAACAATTTGAATTTACTGACTGTGACAAAAAAAACTTAAAGTTTGTGTATAGTTCAAAGGGATTTTTAGTAGTGCCATGGTAACGTTACCTATGCTACTTAGATAAAAAGTAGTGAAATTTTGTTTAATAAGTTTATTTCCAAAATACTTGCTACACAAATTAACAACAAGTATATCTTTAGATTTTTAACGAAGTAATAATATAACAAAGAGATTTTATAAAGCTGCATATATGTAACTAATTCGAATAATTTCTCATAATTTAACGTACAAAGATTAGGTAAATTTCTTTTCATTTTTTAGTCGATTCAAAAATTGGTAAATCGGGAATGATCCTTTCCAACAACATAAGTCGACTAAGATAGTCTTAATTTTTTGTTTAATTTTACACGACAATAATTAATGTTTTTTGGTTGAAAATGCAAACACCATACTCTTTTATTACGCCGATTGATTTTTGTAACTAAAAAACTTTTATTTAAATATATTTTTAAACTTGGAACGTTAAATAATTTATAATCTTGTATCTACTTCTTCTTCTTCTTAGCTCTGGAACAACAGCACGGTGAAGGTTCTGGGTCGCACTGAGCTTCTCTCGTATCCACGCGGCCGGGAGCCTTCTTTTCGGGACCCTTCGGTGTTACCAGTTCCAGCTCCATTTTGCAACGTCTGTCACCGTTTGGCCCAATTTTTGCTACCTATAAAGTTACAATCTATTATGATAGGTAGAAATAAATAACATTAACATGAGAAGTATTTAGCGTATTCTGTATTGAAAAAAAAAAACAATTACGTTATATATGAGGCCGCTGGAGGCAGAATAGCCTAACTGCAATTTTATGACTCGAGTTATAATATTTTTATAGTCTAAAAATGTTAATCTGCAAGAGTATAGTAACGGAAAATTGTTAACAAATTATATACAAAATCACGTTGAAGGTTCTACTAAGCATTTTCTTTAGTTAAAATCTTCTGGGCAAATTGATATAGCTGGAGACAAAACAGTCTGATCGGTCATTGTTAATTAGTGATCTTCTGTCTCTTTCTAGTTCATACGATAGCTAGAGATATAGATATATTGGTCGTACACGTTGGTCTAATGCTAACAAGGGGTCATGTGTTACCCACATAGTCCAACATGTTTAAAACAAATTTATAATTTTTCTGAAACATGTTGGGCTGCGTCCGGAAAACTGGATATTGAATAGGTGGTAGGAATATCGCAATTCCGTCCGCGTCACGAGACAACCGTCACATACCGTCGCCCCATTGGGGCCTATATAATAAGTAGCATGTCATACACATTCTTACTTTGAGAACAAAGACATCTTTCCTTGGATGTAACACTGCTTGTGCCGCTCTAGGGCTGGGCAGGTTGGTTGGTATCAGATTACACATCCATGGACATGGCTCCCGACTTTTACCAGAGCTTTCGCCCTTCACTTTCCCCTGAACTTGAGTACCTTTTGCCGCCATTGTGTTTTATCTCTCTAGACAATTTTGAAATTACCACCTAATAAACATGATATTGGAATTTTGTCCACACTGTCAATGTGATATATGTCGTGTAATTTGGTGTGTCAAATGATATAGACTATTATTACTATTTAAATATAGATTATGTACTGTGATAAAAAGCCTCAAAAAACACTTTATTACCGTAAAGCCTTTTGTTTTACATAATGTAATGTATACATATAGGTGCGTTTAAAAGCTTTGTAGTGCAAAATGGTACCTTATCAATAGAGTTGCATATTTCTTATTGTACTTTCATCTTTCTTCGCATATTTGGCTCGCTGTTAATTTCGATCAATAAATTGATTTTTGAGTAATATATTTTACTTAAATAAAAAACCTTTAACGGTTTAAAACGCGATTTATTAGTTCTAACTAATATATCGCGTTTTAAACCGTTAAAGTGTTTTATTTAAATGTGTACTACTCGCGTAAACTATAGACAGTATCTAATATATTTTATCCTCATAAGTAACCTAAATATTCTTTGTCTTGTCGAGCTATGCTATACGACTTGAAGAGCGAAATAAAAAGCGACGAATTTCAGGAATTATTTATTAGTTTGTCAAGGTGATATCTTCGATTTAACCGCAGCAAGAAGAGCAATTACTTTTGCAGCACTTGAGAGGCTTGCATGGTGCAACAGAACAACATTTCCTTGGTGGGCAGGGCAACGGCATTGTACAGCAACCAGGCATGCTACGGCATTTTACCACTGGGCACGTCTTCACTCTGTTACTGCAAGGAGATTCACGTTTCTTGTGCGACTTGATCTTCGGCTGACTCCTTGCTCTACGTGGTCGTTTCCTTCCGACCGGGCATGGTTTCAAGCATGGTGAACTCCTGCACGGCGATCTGCAGCAGGGCGGCGTGCACGGTTTCCTACAGGGCGGTGGTGGAAATGGCGCGCATGACGAACATGGTTTGCCACAACAACTCGTTTTGCAGCATTTCTTGCACGGGGGCCGGCAGGGCTGCCCGCACGGCTTCGTTTTACAGCATTTGGGCTTGCACGGTGAGGGTTTGCACACTATTAATTTACATTTCGACGGTCGGCAGGGCCCTGGAAATGTACAGGGTATCGGGCATGGTGCGCTGCATGGTGGTGGTCTCGATGGTGGTGGAGTCCATTCTAAGAGAAGCTCGTTTTTAGCTAAGGGTGCGCCTGTTATTTTCCGAATAACCAGCTCGAATACGCCACGTCGGGCATTAGTAACCGTCGTTACTTTAACAGGTGCTTGGTCTTCACTGGACGCAGCTAAGATACACTTTGGACCTTGACACGGGTCTCTACCGTGTACTGGACAAGGTTCTTTAGGTCCTATTTTAATATGCGATACCGTTGCCATCATTTCGCCTTTCGTTGCGGCCAAAGCCGGGCAAGGCTTTTCGGGTTTATCGTCTTTTATTGTTACCGATTTACATGTCCCGGTCGAAGTATTGGCACCCATTTTCCGTTTGGTCTGTGATGAACATGTACTCTGATCTTTCGATCGGCCCTTCATATCCGTACTTTTGCATGCCGCAGAAGAAGCCTGACCTGTTCTGCATAATCTGGTTTTGGATCCCTTTCCTCCCATCCCCTTTTCTGGTTCCTTTTTTCTACCAAAGAAGTAAATATCTGAATATCGCATTCTATCAGTGACATACCGACTACTGCCTCCAAGTGGTAAGGTGGACATGGTGCATGAAGAAAATTTGCTGGAACCCATTTCAATTGATGTATGGTCACTGTAAACTTGAAAACACTTATTGATAAGCGCTGTAGCTTGAGTACCTGAACTTTTACTTGGACAGTATTCGTCAAAAATAGTCATGTATACTGCCGTTTCCTTTTCACCGAATAGACTACCTTTGTCTGAATATTGGTTTAATATAGAGTACGAGCGTCTTGGATAAATAGTGCGCATAGTTCGTTTACTCATCAGCGATGTAGAAGACGGATAGAAATTGGAGCAACAATCCGAGTCTCTTGATGAAGGAAGCTTCCTTTTAGCAGATATCTTGAGGGTGTCGACGATACCAATTTCATGTAATGGTACGGGCATAAGATAGTCATACAGCTTGGAGTTATTTTTGTATTTGTGCATTGGAAGTTCCACACTGCTTTTCGTTAATAACTTTATTTTTTGTTCATCGGTCAGTTCTTGGTAGATGAGCAAGCTCGACAGGACACCTACGATAATTTGTGAATTTTATTTATTACATTATAATTTATCAATTATATTATTATGTAAAATTAAAACAAGTCAACTAAAAGGTATATTTTATTTGATAAAACATAACATATATAAACATAAAAACTGGAAACGGTTGAAAATATTGTTTTTGAGAATTAACAATGTCTTCTACAACAATCGGGGCACGTGGGGACACATTGGGCAGTCCGTGTGTCTTTAACAGGAACGATCTTTTCATGCGTTTCTATTGGAGTGATAAACTGATATTCTAATTTAGACTTTCGCCCAGGCATTTCGACAACTTTGCCCACTCGAATTTTTATTACTTGCTTGGGAAAATCATAAACAGCTCCTGGATAATTCTCAGCAGTTGGTGGTATTAAATGGCCGGGTTCATCTCTAGCTAAATCGCCAACGCCGTCAGATGTGAAATTGAAATAAGCACGTTGCTTGTGCCCGTTGCCACACGAATCCGTTGGTACTTGAAAAATTACCTTGTTTCCAGTCGGGCAGCAATCTGCACAGTGTGCATATGTCAACGTGATACTATAAAATTTTAATGATACCAAAATACTGAGACTTAAGTAAAATACAGTTTTACAATAAGTTATATTTGTTACGAGAAAATATTTGTATTAAAATTATAAATCTACACTTGTTAACGCTTCCTTTTTGTCTTTTGCTTTTTAATTCTTCGTATACCGCATTCGCAATCGAGGTCTGACTGTATTCTAGTATTTTGTTTTGTCACCGGCGGTTTCTTATCCGCTGCTTTTGGTGTCGCTAATTCTATTTCTAGTTTGCACTTTCTGTCACCTTGCAGCGCTGTTTTAGCTACTTTGAGGACAAAAACATCTCTGTTCGGGAGATCTTGTTGATTATCACCGCGAGCCATAGCGGCTTGTTGGCCATGTTTTGAGGCTTGAAGACATCCTTCTGTTGTGCAAGTAAACTGTGTGTCTGCTGGCCGGGCTCCATGGCAACAGACCGCTTCGCTGGGTAAAGCTAAACTTATCTGGTTCTTCCCACAAGGTGGTTCGCAAGGGCCACCATCAGCAGATTTTTTGCTATAGGGACATTGCATGGCGCAATGTGTTTGGCTTATTTTCTTGATTATTGATGCATTAGCAGGAACTTTGATTTTAAGCTCATTTTCACCCAGAGTTGTGCCTATTTCCTCAAATTGTTTAGTGCGACCTGGTCATTAACAAATAGAGTTCTTCTATGCAGAATAACTTTCTTAAGCCTTACCTAAGTACTTAAGTCTCAATGTTTTCGGTTCAGTTCAGATTGGAAAGAGGAATTTTTATAAAATACCACAGAGTACACTGGTAAAAATATGGACACAAATTAATAACAAAAAGATAATCTAAAACTATATCTCACCTTTAGGAACGTGTAGGCAATATTGATCGGTGTTTCGACAAACCATCTTTTGTTTTTCGGGTGGTTTAGGACCAGAGCAATAACAGGGGTCGTCTGGATCTTCACAAGGCATGCTGTTGTATTGGTCACGAGCTATAAAATTCAACGGAATAAATATTAATATCAACGTTTTTGTTATACTTACACAATTTGTAATTGAAACAAGTTAATAACCAGGTGGACAGATAGCACCACCACCGCCTGTGCATGTATATCCTGAACCTCCTGCGCCACCATGCCCACGAGCAGCTCCACAGACACAAGGATCATCAGTTGTCTGGTAATCCTTCTTAGGCGCACATGACCTATCAACAATACCCGCGCTCCCACCAGATTTTCCACCCAGGTTAGGAGCACCACCACCACTAGCTCCTTGAAATGATGTTATGATCAGCTTCCCAAAACAGGATATGCGTAGGAACATAACGATCTCGCCAGTCTCTTCCCCGTCGGGTCCAACGAAACGGAAGGAATCCTTAAGTGCTTGATAACTGACACTGGTTGGATCATCGAGAAAATTTTTCCTAGTCTCTACAAATTCTTTCGTCATGTCGATCGTACATTCGCCCATTATTATCTTCGTCGGGAGACAACCGCATGGTAAGGATTTGTACACTGACACCTTTACTGGGAATTTGCTCATGGCTGCGTTAATGTCACTTTCTTTAAGAGAAAACAGACATGATTTGCCCGTATTGAAGGGCTTCACGAACGGACCGCCACTCTTTGCGATGCCCACGTTGGGATCATCATCACATATCTCCAAGGGTTCGACGGCATTGCATTCAATATTGACACACGTTCTGAAGTCTTTGTCTGAGAAACAAGGGCTTTTCACGAACACAATTTTGTCTATGAGAACCTCCAGGAGGAAGAGACTGTCGTCGTTCTTAGACATTTTTAATAACAAAGGGATGGGAGTATTATATTTAGAGTATTTTTAAATTTTAAATGTTTATAGCATGCTTTTAATTTTGATGCTAACAAATGAATGGATGTGTCATCGTATATTTCTTTATGGTCTTCTATTCTTCCAAAGAGGTGAGGTTATTCTGAGAACTCTTACAAATTCTATCATGTGTCAGATCCATGAATAGGTACGTAACATTTCAATATGATCTAATACAAGCTGGCCTTTGACTTTGCTTGGCAAAATTAGAATGGCGGAATTTATGTAGTAATTCTTTTAAATTTCTCTTATATTTATCCTTTTAATGAACGTACAAGTTAATAAATTTTGCATACTCTGGTAATTGTTATCAGATACGCCTTATGATTCTATAGAAAGATTATACCCCTTAGTTCTTATTGATAATGCTTTCATTTACTGAAATAACGACATAGTTATGGTTGTAAATAAAAGCACAGCCACAAAGAAATCACTTGTCAATTACTTTATAACATCATTACATAAGTTAAGTTAAATACTTAACTTATGTAATGATCTTAAATTGGTATTTTAATCTATAAATGATAGGAGAACTTATTATTTTCCACTAAATGTAAACTGATTTATCATAACATATCTTTACAAAAACATTTCACAACCCGATAATAAGCGTGTAAAAAAAATATTGGGAGCATTTTATCATATTTAATTTTTATAGTTACACTTACACAGATTTAAAAAAAGAAAATAAGTGATTGTTACAGGATTAAATAAATAGTAAAACAAACAATTTACAAGGTACAGTATTATTACAAACTTTACAATCCACAGAAGATCCCAACTGTATATTTTTGAATTAAAAATCTATTTTAGATTGAAAATCTATACTGTATGTGCACTATGTGAAGTAACTGTATTTATTGTAATTTGTTTACTCTTCTATTACTTGTCCATTGTATAAAAAGAAAGTTATTGGCTTTACTATGCGGTGTCTGTTACACGAACATAAGATCCATTAAGAATTCTACTTCCTTCTTGTCAACTAACTCGTCTATTTCCTAAGATTCGAAGTTGCTAGGAACGGCTAAGAGAAGTTGCATCAACAAGTGTCCTAGAACTTCATTCCTTGACCCTTGCAACACCAGACCTAACAACGCAATTGCATTTTATCTGCATTGCGTCATCTACAAAGCGCATGTCCAAATTAATCGATAACATTTCCAGGAATTTCAGGGAGATTTACTACCTCGAAGCCTCGCCATAGTACATTTAAAACAGTATGGAATTAAAAAATATATATATCGCGTTTATATGTCGCGTTTTAAACTGTCAAAGCATTTTATTTAAATGTGCATGTTTTGCATTCATTTGTGTTAATTTAGGAAAATAATATTTTGAAATTATTACGAGACTTTACGAGTTTTTTAATCGAACGGTCCAAATTTAAAATCTCGTAAGAGCCAGCATTGTCAAGCTGTATGTATCGTATGTATGTATTCTGTATCCAAAGCCAAACTAAGTATTTCACCTTCCAACAGCAACGAAAGACGAGCATGCAGATCACTTGCCGCATGCTTGTATGTCCTCCTCCGCTTCAAAAAGAAGGTAAAGAAAGTAATAAATGAATGCAAGTTCTACGACGCCATACCTATATTAGGATCGAGTATTTTTGCTAACTTAGTCGGAATTCTATATTCTAAATGATTTATAGACGCATCATATATGGGGCTGCCAGAGGCAGAGTGGCTTAATAAAAAACACGATTTAATAAAAATATAAATAACTCAAGTCATATAATTGCAATTAGGCTACTCTGGCTCTGGCGGCCTCCTATCCTTTATGCTACGGAGGAAGGTTTAGCCTATAGTTTTTTTTTATAAGGGGAGGATGAAGGGAGACAAGGGAGACTCCCCATCTATTCACCCACCACCCAGACTCCACAGTGTGGAGATGTGCATACAACTGCGCCATTGCACTGAGCGCATGTCCTGTATGCATCGATTTATGAACGTGGCTGAGAGTGGCGGGGATCTGGATTTAACGAAATGATATCAGAAAGCCTTCATCCTCGTATAGAAAATAACATGTTAAAGTTTTATGTCAAAATTGAGTCAAAATCTATGAAGGTTCGACTTAAATGTAACCAAACTTCAATATTCCAGTACATTTGATGACGTTAAGCGCGTTTTACAATGAAACATTGTAAAGTATGCCAAAGAAGAACTTGATAATATATTTTATAACATATTTGCTCGTAAAGTGGTTGTGATTACACCAATTTCAATATCGTAATGTATCTCATTACGTACTTGTGCGATAATGTAATGTAAAAGGCACGTGTTTTTATTTAATAAAGTTTTAAGATACGCCGTCTAAAAATGAACGATACTATTAAAAATCTTAGCTAAGAGGTTTTATGTCAAGAAAGTGGTCAATATTTTATTAATAAAATTAACTTTGGGAAACAAAATAGAACAAATAAACATTTAATTCTTTAATTTAATTAATTTTGACAATAAATTACAACCACTTATCTATAAGAAAAACACAAATATATTAATTTACTTTATAAGTAATACTGGCTGTTTGTACCTTTGCCTAAAAAAAAAGTTGATGCGCGCGCATCGCTTATTTGTGGACAAATAAAAATTTTTATAACTGCTTTAACAATTAATTAAAGATTTATTCCCAAAGGAAAGTCCCAGTAAAACAGTTCAAAGATTTTAAATGTTCAAGACATAAAACGCGAAGTATATAAGTTAGGATCTTGAATTTTCGGATGCTTCGCAGCAACTGTGGCCACGCGGGGCATGGTTGCTGCATCTGAAACGCGCGTCGGGTCGCAGGTACAATAAATTAGAAATTACTTATACATTTCGCATTAGAAATGATTTCTTGAAATGTGTACTACTAAACTAAAGGCATGATATGAAAACCAGATTTTTGTCTACATTAGTAATGATAAAAAGCTGCCATTTCAGTAGGTTGTTGAAAGTTTTCCACAATGATTGTATTAATTACGTTCCAAGTATTAAGTTGTAAGCATTTTGTTTTAATTACACATGGCAGTTGAACTTTATCAAACGTATGTATATGAAAATAGGTATAGCAAATACTGTCTATAGTTTACGCGAGTAGTACACATTTAAATAAAACACTTTAACGGCTTAAAACGCGATATATTAGTCAGCCGTGGTCACGGCTGCTGCAAAGCAGCCTGAAACGTCGGGCAGAAGTTAAAAATCATTGTCAAATAAGTTTAACTAATATATCGCGTTTTAAACTGTTAAAGTGTTTTATTTAAATAGGTATAGCAATCAAAAGTAAATATTTTTTTTTATATTTTTAAGAGGTAAGGTTGAGTTAAGGTTAACCTTTGAATTACATATATACATAGTTTTTATACCAGTATTTATAGGTTCCTTAATTTTAAAAGATTATTTAAACCATGGGCAAGGTCTAAAACATAGTACCTAAAGGTAATATCTACATAAAGGTACTATCTCGTCCTAAGTACTCACTTATATTAATCATCAACAACTATCGACTACTAAAGGATGACAAAATTTTATGCGAGGACTCAGAATAAATACAAATATTTTTATAGTAAATTTTTATACAACGTAAAATTCTAATTAATATTTCAAATAAGAATATTCTTTATCTCGTTCGGCTCATGATCCATTGAAGAGTGAAACTGAAAACAATTTATGAAACGTCATTTAAACCTTAAGTAAAACGCAGGATACCAGTCATTTATAGAACAAAGACTAATACTTCGATCCACCATCCTTGTCCAGAGCAGGTTGATGGGGTTTAATACTATCATCGCTATTCAGTTAGTGATGTGAACTGTGACCAACGCCTTAACAACTCTCCTTGACACTTATATACTAGAAAAAAAAAGTCCAATAAAAACACGCGATAGCCCTTATCACTTGGGGGTATTAAAAATAGATGGCAACCGATTCTCAGCCCTACTGAATATGCACAGATATCGGTCGAGCCGTTTCAAATATACGGCAACACTGTGATACGAGAATATTATTTATACGATTGCAAATAACTAACATTTCGCCCAAGTCAGAAATCGAACCCGTGATCTCGTGATCGACGACGAGTGGACGACCACACCACTAGGCAACATAGACTGAGAGATAGATCGCTACAAAATCAACGTTGTAGTGTAACTGTTCTGCGACTTATTCTGCTGTAACGCCCTTTTGCGTCACTTTAGTTATAGTCTAACTTAATCTACTAATCCTTTTCAATATAATATTTTAAGCTATAATTATTTACTGTACTAGCTTAGTATCATTATTACAAACACCTGTATGAATGCCGACTGCTAGAACTTGAGTTTACTTTGAAAATTTCCGCATAATACACGGATATTTCACGGGTGGATAGTTAATATAATACCAGTTACAGGCTTCGTGTAGGAACGGCCGGCCGACCCTTGAAAAAAAACCAGTAAAATAAACATTTGGTACTGTGAGTTCATAAAATACATTTATGTGCATCTTAAAACTGCAGCTGTGCCCATTTATGTGCTTGTATTTTTATATTTTGGCATATAATTTTGCCAGGGCAACATTCCTTGGCTCCACAATTGCTGAGCTTAAGAAAAAACAATGATATATTCTAATAGAATACATTTTTTTAAACAACGCCACCGCCGATCGCGTAATAAACACAGAATTCCCGACAGACACAATTCTGTGTCCTTTTCTACCAATCAATTTACTAATAAAAAATACCAGATATACACTTTGGTGTAATGGTAGCAACGTAGATTAATAAAGTAGTTATAAAGCTTAGCCCTGGTTTAAACTACATTTTATAAAATTTACGTGATTTTTTTTTATAGATACTACATTCAAAATATATACTCATTCATCCTTTCGCTGATTTCGTCAGGAGATAGAGTAGCAGATACGTCCGGGTAATATCTCCATCTCTTTTGCGTCGAAGACTCTTCAATAGGCATCGCAGGGTATACGACATCAGATACCTTCGACATCTTGCAATCTCGACAAAGGGGGTGTTTCTGTAAAAGCAAGAATCACGTTTCCAATTATAAATAAATTTAATATATAGCTCTACTTTCTGAATAGAGTTTGATGAGAAAAACCTGGTTTAAGTATTTTTTGTATTAAGGTCGTCTATGTCTATTTTAGAATTAGAACTTCAAATAGCTTATCCGATTTTTGTACTTACTTTCGGTATCTTTGTAAAGTAGAATTTATTGTTTGTTTTCTTCTATACTTGTTGGCTTATAATAGTTTGTTTCCCTATTCTGTTCAAAGAAATTGCTGTAGACGACAAGGTCGCCTTAAACTTCTTAATAAATAAGAGTAATTTAGTAACACTTGAATTTTATTTGTGCAAGAAAGTGTTTTATTAGAGTGTTGGAGGATATAATAGTAGGTATTTTAGTCTTACAATTTCGGGGGAAGCCAAGATGCTACTAAACTTATATTAAAATTTCATTTTGTACATCACAGTTTTAACATATCCATGTTTTCTAATTTGTAAATTTCAAGTCCTAAGGGGCATAATAAGGAAGATAACCTAGTAAGATTAAAGTCCATTAAATAAAGATTTAAAAAGTGTATTATTATTAACGGTGGCCACGAACCGTTTAATATTCGTATATCCTTTAACCAACGTGCAAGAATCGCAACAATGAATAACAATATTTGTGATTTAAATCGGGTATATATTGAAATGGAGCAACAACCTTCGTCGTGTCCTCAGTTCGCCTGAAATCGTCGCATGCATGAAGCCGCCGGTACTTGACGCAATCCAAGTCGTACTGGTACGATCTGGGGAAGACATCTTGGTGGGCTAAAGGCAACACCTTCGAGTAAGCATTGTTACACCATTTGTTATGATAAAACTCAACTTTGACCCCTCGCTGCATCACAAAGGATGCATCATTTCTCATGGAGTCACCATACGTGCTGCATTGAAGACTTACGGGGTAAGACCTTTTCTGTTGTCATCCCATAGTTGTAATATGCATCGTGTAAGGTATACGCATTTGCACCGGGCTTGTCCACCCAGAATGCTTTGTCCTTTAGCACCATGTTGTCTATAACGGCGTCGGGAAGCTCATCAATTGTTGGCCTGCATGAAAAAAGGCAGTAGGTATTCATTGATTTGTGTATCTTTACTAATATTAGCTGAAGATTTTGTTTAAACGCGCTAATCTCAGAAACTACTAGTTCAATACAGTTTTCTAACGGTTATTCTATTTTGAAAACGTAAAGATATTACGTCGTTTATTTTAGTTTTTGAATATGATAAAAATACTGTATTGAAAAATATTGTTTTAAAAAAAAGTAAGTCAAATTTACTTTGGTTCATAGTTAACATATTTAACGTGTTATCAGACATTTTGAATGGTAATCGACCGTTTTATCTAAATCTAAATATACCTAGGTGGAACCTCAACCAAAGCTCTAGTCAAGGGCTGGAGAAATTTTCCCACTGTCTGCTGAGTTAGAACTGGCGGTCTACCTGGCGCCAGACTTTCGTCTGTTTTAACCGTTAAAGAAATATCGTCAATTGCGTATCTGGAGAAGATATTATATTTACGTTTTAGTATGAGGCCGCTAGATACAGAGTAGTCTAACTGCAATTTTATGATTTGAGTTATATATATTATCGTAAAATAACAGTGACCGAAACATAATTTTAATACAAATAATAGTTCAAATTCATTTTTCCTCCTTATTGAAAATCATGTTTTTTGTTATAAGGCCACTCTGCGTCGCTCATAATATATTAATATACAATGCCGTACAATTTAAAAACTGTATTGTTCAGCATAGTACTTCATAATTAGTTTTAATGGTATTATTTAGTACACCTACTTGTCTGGATGGTAGCCTGTGAATTTGGAAACATTGCTTTGTGGATTTAATGGGTGCTGTTGTGTAGATTCCATATTGTAACTCTGTCGGATTTGTTAAATCATAAACAAGTTTTATGGAGGTTAAAAAACTCGCAATATTTGTTATTTACGCAGAATTACTTTTTTTCTAAACAGCCAGTGGTATACATACACAACTAATTATGATAAAACTTGAATTGTCCGTTAGCATCATGAACTGTATAATAATTGCTAAAAAATAATAAGTGTAATAAATTAATTTATTTATTTCTAATAGATAAATTAATTTATCTTTAATTTTTAATATAATTTAAGTATAATTTAAAATTTAGATTACCTGTGCATGCTAAGCTACTCAAGTCTGTGCCACTAGGCAAGAGGTGTCAAATATGTCCTGTCAGGATAGGCAGGATCTGTGAAACGTCAATCTGACAGTTCGAAGTAAAAGCCAAAGCAAAGCGACTTGCTTGTTGAGTTTATGGTGTACTTAAAAATTTTATTGTGACTCACTGTTGTTGATAGAAAACTATTCTAAATATAATGTCTAGGAACATAGTTTTCGAAGGCTGGCTAACAAAATCGCCACCGACGAGGAGAATTTTCAAAACTGTAAGTAAACAAACATTCATTTATAGCTGGGTAAGGTTACTGTCTAATTCATAAAGCACAAATTGCGATTGTCTTATCGAATTGTAATATTGAATCACTATCCGTTAGCAATATAGTATATAGTTTCATCTTATGCGAAATAAGTTGGGTTGATTTTGCGTTCAGAAATGGCGAAGAAGATGGTTCGCTTTGCGACAATCGGGTGAGCTGCCTGGGCAGTATTTTCTGGATTATTATTCAGATCGAAATCGGCGACGCCTCAAGGGATCCATAAATCTAGATCTTTGTGAACAGGTAAGAGAAAAAACGTATTGTCATTCTGCCCTACAAACATCAAACCAACAATTGTAAGTAAACTAGTTTTAACAACATACTACAAAAAAAAAAAATTAAGACTAGATACATACATTTTTTTCAAAAATTAAATATTGAGGCAAGAAAGAATAACAGTGATAATCATGCTTAAATCTGCTTGTTTTAAAGCTTATTTTATCATTTAATAGCTTATTTCTTATTAACACAAGCATATTTAAACTATATTTTCTGTTTCCGGTATTGTTATAATAATCAATGACTTTAAAATAGTAACTATTATGATCAGCTTTTAATAAATAAGAAATCAATCTAATTTTTAATATGTCCCCAATGTAGATGTCTACTTAATATTACTAATGCTTTAAAAGATTAATATAACTTCAAGGTACAAAATTGATGGCTTTTCTAATAGAAAGAAATGACTTTGCCGATAGCATCTTTGGTTACAGACATAACAAACTGGAACGAAGTCATCAATCTGAAAGGATATAAAAATATTAGTAACTAAAATGTTTAATTTAATTATTTAATATCTATTCTTTATTTATCTCTATTATCTATTGTTTAGTAAGCAATATTAAAACATAATATGTATTTGTAAGAAAGAAATGTTTCTATTGAAATTGAAAAATGCATTAATAAACACTTATAATTAAGACGAGACAATACACATTATATTGAAGCGGCATACTTTGTCTCCCAGAAACATGATATGGGCCTAGATAAAAATAGTACTTCCCTTTCATTTCCTTGTAAACATAACACTATGTTGTCGAAGTTCTTAGTGTTTAGAGGTTCTGTATTACCATCAATGTTTATTCAAATCTGAACGATCAGTTTCATTCTATGATTTCATGTGAATGCATGTGCGCTTATGATTAGTTGGCGTTGTTTCTATTGTAATAATTTTGAAATAAAGAAAACCTTTTTTGTCTACAATGTGTTACTCGGTATTTAATCAGACTGTGTTGTAGGTTGATGCTGGTTTGCATATGACGCGAAATAGTACGGGGACATTGGATCCTCGAATCCGTGGTTCTGTTTTCTCAATACAAACACAGTCGAGGACTTATCACCTAGAGGCGGACTGTGAGGCAGATATGGAGAAGTGGGTTGATGCTATATGCCGTGTATGTGGCTTGAGAGCAACCAGTACACCGCCTGAACCAGTTGATACAAGTAAGATAATATAGGCTTTTTATTATAGTTTATACTTAATGGCTATAAAATAATTTAAAATCATTTATTTGTGTATCTTTCTATTTGTGTTTAATAAGTATAGATTATGACATCTACACTATATGTTTGCAGTTATAGTATCTACTCACAAAAAATATTATTGCAAAGTGTTATGATTGATTATTTTTTTAATGGTATTTAATAGCTATCTTCTTATAACGGAGGGAAATATTGATGAATGTGTGAGCTGCAGACTTTTTGAAAGATTACTTTAATATGCATTTTAAATCTCTTTTTATTTGTCATCGCTCAGCGAATGCTTTTTCTTATGTTGTACATTTAGCAAAGAAAAGTTACAAGGGTTTATTTTTGAAGTTTTGGTTTAACATGTTTCGGTACAAAAACTGTTATTTAAAAGATATTAATTAATTTTCAACATCATTTATAATAGTTGTTATCACACTTAAATTGAAGACATTTTAATTGGACTTGTAATTAACTATATAGATATCTCATTTTATAAACTCATGTCGTTAGTGATAAACTTTAAAAATACCTAGAGTTTATAGTTTCAGGCGAATCGAAGAGTCTGTCCTTCTTGTGTTATTAGATGTGTCATTTGCGACCTTACCTATTATGGGCTTTTCAAACAAAGGGTTCTTATGACAGGACAATAAAGAGCCTTTTAAACATTATTAAAAGCATTCAGCCCACACTGATCGATCCGTGATCGGGAACATTCTCGAACTACATCCCACGGCGGTACAGCCTCGCCCGGGTATTCTGGAGCTACCACCCACACTCGCTCCCTCATCCCTTACCGTCTAGGGCTCAGCCGCCCGGCATGCGCATCTAGATGTGTCCTAGGTAAATCATTCTCTCTCAGGCCGTCCCTTCGATCAGACGTGTCGAGTGTTAGAAGTGCTTTAAAAGAGCTACCCTTAGGCTCTTTGTTTCATTAACTCGTGTTAGATTAAATTCTTTATTTAAATCAATAATCATTATTTCACTTCGTATTAATTTCTTTGTTGGTGCAAGTGGCAGCGTTAGTAGTTAGGTAAGTTCAAGTGAAAAATTGCTCTCGATGTTATCGAAATGTTATATGTGGTGACTGTACCCCTTCTGAATGCATTTCCCTATTAATTACTGTTTGAAATTGCGTTGTGGCGTTTTTTATTATGTGTTTTACTGTAGCGGCGAGGAGCGGTGTGAGGGCCTGTGGGTGGGGCACCTCACCCTCTCCCGATGTTCGGAGGGTGGGGCCAGGGTGGCTACTTCCCGCGGCTTCTACCCCCCCGCTGATTTTCGAGCGATATTTTAAAAGCGAGCGCGAAAGCCTTTGCGTTTCAGCTAATAGCGATTAACAGCGAAAAAGTAAAAGAAGGTTACGATTTGTTTTATAGGTACATACCAAAACAGCACAATGACAGTTATGAACGATCAATACGAATTCGCGGAAAGTACGGGACCCTATATTCCGATATCTGAATGCATTACAGGAATCCGTGCGGTGGTACTGTTTTTTATTTATTTAATATTATTTTGGTTATTTAAAGCACTATCCAGGCTGTTCTCAAAAAAGTGATATAGTTTTTTCATTACCTTAACATAATTTAGGCGATAGTAAACGCGTGGATGAATTGTTTGTTAAAGGTTGAGGGTGAAATACAATGGGGCCAGTCGCCAACCAAGAGAACATTGTTTCTCCGGCTTTTCTTGTACTAGCCAAAGACCTGAAAACTCGATTATGCTGTGCATTCTATCGATGAGCACAGAATTTAGAATGATGTTGGCAAATAAAAATCTAAGTACAAGAGGGCGTAAATCTGATATCACTATGAAAATTGTGTTCCAATTTAGTATCATAAAATATGACTCGTGTGTACTCGTCTTAAAATAGACGGTTAAGACGAGTACACACGAATTATATTTTATCAAATGCGTGGATAGTCGCTTTAAAGTTGCTGAGTAGTGCTTTCAAACGTTTGTGTTGATGCCATTGAGATTGTTCCTTTAAGGCGGTTGCTTTTGGCGAATTAAAGAAAACTGAGTTTGACTTTTTATAGTTTATACAATCTTAAGTCCATATTTGAAAAGAAAATATAAAAGGTGTAATATCCATAACGTTACAAGCTAGAAAGGACATTAAAATTTAATAATGAATCTTCCTTTGAATGTTTTTGAACACATATCTGACGCAAGAATAGAGAAATAAAATCATTTTTTTCATACAAGTTATCCGAAAAAAGAGCTCCACTGTTGTGGTAATGAAGTAACACACACACTAATTTTTAAATAAATTAACGGTTTAAAACGCGATATATTAGTTAAACTTATTTGAAAATCATTTTTAACATCGGCCCGACGTTTCGGATGCTTTGCAGCAGCCGTGGTCACGGCACTTTATTTAAATGTGTACTGCTCACTAAGTTCAACGACTTACGCGATTAGTACACTTTTAAATTAACTAATAAGTTTAACTAATTTCTAGTTATAAACCGTAAAAGTGTTCTATTATAATATGGGACACGTCAATACGTAGCTAGAAGCAACCGTCTTAAGCTTGCTTTGTTACGCACCCAACATTGCTATGTTATGCGCTTCTTTGCTCTCATTATATGTTCGCCCTTAAGTTTCGTTTTAATTTGCTTTTAGGACTCCCAAAGTTCCTTCACCTTCGATCCCAATCATATAATTGTCGGAGCTAAGTCGACCTTCGAGCCAGGGCAGCAAAAGGCCCAGCAATACCTAAGTCACCCACAAATACGTATTAATAATGTTGAATTATCTGAAAATGAATCGAATTTAAGTGACGAGGAATGCAAATCACTAAATGCTAGTCATTCTAATATAGGTATGTATGGCCGTGTCGATTTTCAAACGCTGCTTTTTATAGTCTCGTATTTTCCCAGGTAATTTAATCCGAGAGGGCTATACGTAACGCGCGCATGATACACTTAAGTTATATAGTATCGGGTTGAAACATTCATGATCAACGTAATCGAATTCTAAGCGTTTTTGTTTCGCATACATAAAAGTACATAGTTTTAGAGCGTCAAAGATGCCGTCTCGTTGTAATTTTAATATGATTACGAGGTTGACATTTGAAAATTTTAATATTTTTCACACGTTAATGCACATGGTGGCGCTATTTAAATTAAAAATCGAAAATAAATTGAAACAATTTACGACCCGGGCGGTACTTGAACCGGCATCGACAGCGTTAGGTGCTGCTTTAACCAATTGAGCTACACTTCATCGCCGAATTTCTTCAACCTATTGATACATGCACCTCTCGCGCAATGTAATTTCTTCACTGCACGGAACGCTGACGCATCGCCGGTTCGAGTCCTGGTCGGGTCGTAAATTGTTTCAATTTATTTTTTGATTTTTAATTTACGACGTTGACAGTTGAATAACGCGTTCTCTTTACTTTTAGCGAGGTACGGTAATGTTCCGGAGAACTGGTCTGCTAGGTCCTACGTGAGGCCTAGTCCGGAAGACGAGAACAGGACAGATGCTAGGGTGTCTGGTAGTGGAAATAAGCCGGACAGACTAAAGCCGCCTAGTAGTTTCAATAAGACAGAGCGCCTGCGTCACGGGAGCCCGCGGAAGTTTGACGTCTCCGAAGAAGGTAACTAATGCAAACACTAATTCTTATTTCTCCATAAAATTATGGTTACATTTGGTCTTAGGGTATACTAGCCCTTACACTATTTCCTGTGACGTGAGCGGCTAGCCTCTTCCGGTACATTAACATCGAGTTAACAACATACTAAGTGATACGTAGAAAGGATTAAATACAATAATATAGTAAAAAAAAACTTAATTATATAGAAAACTTTAATAAGTCAAAATTCTAACAACTCCCATAGTTGAACAAGGCGATTCTAACAACTATCATTGTGAAATCTAACTGGTAAGCGCATGTTACACATTTATACTAATACTAACTGTGCCAGCGAATTCGTCCGCTAAGAATATTTATTTTGGGCATTCAAATTCGTCTTTCCAAACCCCTTTATCTTTATAAACTTAAGCTGTTACTCACAACGTCGATCGGGTCAAATAGCGGATTTTTTTTAGATAAATTAAAGAGGTATCATTCTTCATTTTGTACAGTTTTTGCAGCGTACGCCTCAGTAACCCATAATGACGAATAATTTTTGAATCCCAAATTTTTTACATTTCCCGCTGTATCTTCGTTTGTATTATTAATGAGAAATGTGAAAAAAAACAGATAAAATTATTAATGAGCTGCAAAAATATGTAGGAAACAATGCCTCTTTAAATAATCTAAAAAATATGAAAGATAGTATATGTCTATGTTTTAATATTAACTAGCAAGAACGAGGGGACATTTCAAAACAAATTCTGATGCCCAAAATACGCCCAATTACGCGGACGAAGTCGCGGACACAGCTATTAATAATAAAAACGGCGCCTGCGCATCTTGTTAAAGATAAATAAATTAATATACTTTTAATACTTCTTTAATCTTCCTCTATCCCAGAATGCTGTGAGTACATAGGTCTTAACGATAGTATGTTTTCTTTTCAGGCCCCCCCTGTGCCACCTCGCCCTCCAAAAAGCGTTGGTTTTAACTTAGAACATCGAGATTCCTTCCAAGGACCAAAGTTGCAGGAACCAGAGGGCGATAGATCGGTAGGTATTAATATGGTGTATATATACAAACCGAAATGTCTGTAAGGTCTATTTAGATGTATTGAAATTTTGGACTTGGAACTGCGTGCTGTTGCTTTAACCATGGTAGCTCAATTAATTAGATCAGCAGAAAGATTCCTGTGGATGCCGGTTCGGCTTCCGCTCGTGCCCTTATTTTTTTCCATCTAAATAGAATTTTATATAATGCCATCATGTGCATGTGACATGTGAAAAATAATTAAATAAAACACTTTAACAGTTTAAAACGCGATATATTACTTAACTTATTTACTACTAAAAAGTTTAACTATAATAATATATCGCGTTTTAAACCGTTAAAGTGTTTTATTTAAATGTGTACTACTCGCGTAAAGTAGAGACAGTATGTGAAAAAAATTAACGTTTTCAAAAGAAAACTAAATACTTAAAACCAAACAGCAGTTTTTGTGTCTAAGCGGCCTAAATTTAAGGATTTTTATTTAACACTTGGTAATTTTAATATATAGTGTTTAAACTTTGTTTAAAATTATGTTATTTTAAATAATTTAATCCACATTAAAGAACATACATACAGAAATTATATTAAAATCAAATAAATAAATGGGTAAATTACCACATACAGTAACTTTGCTTTGGTTCTCCTGCAGCTCACTAAACTGTTCCTGCGATGCTGATTTTTAGTGATGCCCCATAGATGGCACTATGTTAAATAAATATTACATTTAGTTTTATTTAATTTCAGCCCCCGTTCCCCTGGCTTCGCTCTTCACGAAATATGCCTCAGACGTCGAGTCAGCCGGTCGCAAGTCGGCCCAGAAACGATGATGAGTCGTGTTGCCTCACACATGTAAGACACCATGTAAATACCACCCACTAACATTACTAATACGTCGATGTTGCGTGACGCCACCTACCCTCGTAGATTTAAGCAAAAAGTGCGAACATTCAATGCCTTGTTATCAAAGAGATTCATTTTGACTCTTTCTATAAGTAGATTTAAAAGTGTTCGATATTGAAAATAACTTTATATTAAAGATGGCGAGTTGCTTTTGTGTGTTCGCCCTTTAGAAAAAAATACAATTTGCTTGTCGCTTTTCTAACTACTAACAATACTAATATTTGAACAGCTTAATGTTTTAAAATTGCTGATATAGATACAATAATACATTTGTCGACAATGTACGCGCTCTTCAGAATTCAATATCAAGATTTACATAAATTATTAATATTTTTTTTATATATTGGAAAAATAAAAAAAATATTACTAGGAATGCAAAAAAAATATCACACGGGCGGTACCTGAATCACAGCGTTCTTTGCTCAATTTTTAATTTAAATAGATTATTTTTAATTAATGTTCATTGTTAACAAATGTGCGATCACCGTAATGTAAATCTTAACTACCTTATATTGTGATGTGAAATTAATTGCTTAAAATATTTTGCTATAATAATGTTAATAGAGTTTTTTTTATCTTACATTAAAATAAGACAGAAATCTTGGATTTTAACTTAAATGGACACACTTAAGTTTGAGCAGATTATTCATACTGACCAGATAATTGACGTATAAGTTTCTATCAATCTAATTATCTAATTATATAAAATTACTACTATTATAATGATGATGTAGTCATTTTAACAAAGCTAGAAAAAAATCATCGGTAAAAATACCACAAAAAAAATTATCGTTGATTGAAATTTTAGTAATGCAATTTAAGTATAAAATGACTCATGGCCTTCACTTTATATTTTTTTGTTTCTGTATTTTTTCAAGGTCACTTAAATATTAAAATAAAAACATTTAACAGTCTGTAGAGTTTCACAGGAGTAGTACGTGAAATATATTTTTAGTAACAGCAATGTAATAAAATTCGTGTTTTGAACCGTAAAAAGTGTATTATGTTAATGCGCACCACTCGTGTACAGTGCTCCCCAAACTTTTTGGCTTGGCTGGAACGCAAAAAGTAGGTATCAGTTGCGACAAAGGGGGTGCGCGGGTGCGGGGAGACTGACTTTTGCTTATGACAATTGACATAATGCGATGGCGGCAAATTCAGCCCGGCCAAAAAGTTTGGAGAGAACTGTAAACGACACAGACACCGTGAAACTGTACTTAATTGTGTCCCTAGTCTATTCGTACAGTACCAAGATTTGTGTCTCGATGTTTTTGAAGCATCTTCAAATTTAATCAAGATGCAGTCGAGTATTGGTACGTTGCGTCTCGCAATTTGGACGTTTAATTAGATTTAATGTTATCCATTATTCATTGGATACCTAAAACTCTTGCAGTCTTTACAGCAATACTGTAATTTGTCTTCGTTGCCGCCTATTGTTGATCGCGCGCTGAAACCACGGATCTCCGGCGCTAGCGTGTGTCACATGAACCACGTCGCTGCCCAGGTATATGCTATTATACTATATCTTCCTTTCGCAACTGTGACTGGAAAAATCTTCTAATCTTTTCGTTGTGAAGTGCTTTGAAGTCGACATAAGTTGACGGTAAAATATTAAGCTTTGCATTCTTTATAATTATTACATTGTTTGGAATTTTCCCAAACTCGGGCTTACCATATCTTTATACTTTCGTTAAAACATTTCAGACTCTATTGTCGATGCCGCCCGAACCGTCAACGAGCCGCGGCGTTCGATCTTCTGATGTCTTACAGTATCTAGATCTTGATCTTAGCCCCAAGACGTCTAAGGTAAATACATTTATATGGAGCACATACGTACAGTAGTACATACTTACTTAACCTAAAAAAATCGAAACGGAAATACGCATTACAACGCGGTAAATATTTTAACTCAAAACGCAAAATACTTTAATTAATTTTGTTTATAACTTCATCCCGATATACGAAAATAAGACACCTAGTGACTGATGACGAGAAAAATATAAATAGAACTTCAATACGCTGTTCACAGATGGCGATACCGTAGCGGGTTTAGTAGATTTGACATGACATGACATTAGGGACGCCCATCATCTTTAGTCGTACTTATAAGTTAGCTAATATACAGTAAAACCTGGTTAATTGGAATCGCAAGGGAACAAAAAAAAACATTTAAAAATATAGTTTGTAAACATGTTCTAACACTCATACAAGTAATTGAGCTACAGGGTCTCAAAAAAGTCTGAGAATCCAAATCTCATTTTAAAGAACGACTTAAGAAGAAGACGTATTTAAAAGAAAAAGAACCGAGACCTCACTGCAGCTCTTCATAATAGAGGTTTCTCATTTATCCAGGTCCCCACTTAACCAGATACCTGCTAAAAACATTTTTAATTCTAACTATATTTCTTCGTGTTTTTCCAGGGGCAAGATGGCAACCCGCGCGTCCACCACGCCAAATCGTTCTCAGCCGAATCTCGCACCGATTACAAAACCGTTGACTTCGTGAAGACCGAGGCGTTCAACATCACCCGCCAAGACGCGGAGGCTTCGCGCAGCGTACAACAATGACTAAACCCCATATACGGAAAAGTATACAAGAAATGTATAAATAAAAACGATTTGTTTATACATTAGACTGTATACTCTCCCGTATATTGTGCAATTCGTCTACGACGATAAAATATGGACAATTCTTTAGTGGTAGTGTAAATACGTACGCGCGCGGCCTACTAGATTAATTTATTTTGCGTCTCAAAATTCTATTCAAACGCTCGTCTTTCAAGGATCGCGTTCAAATGTATGACAACTTGCGAATGACGTGAAACGCGAGTTACGAACGAAATTATACGCAGTAATTAGGATTGGATACCAAAAACTTACAACGATTTCGTATAATAATCTATAATGTATAATGTATCTGTAGTTTACGCGAGTAGTACATATTTAATTAAAACACTTGTAATGGTATAAAACGCTCAATACATTAGTTATTTACAATTAATTTTAACAACGGCCCGACATTGCCGTTGCTTTGTCGCATTCTAGGTTAGCGGGGTAAAGATGGAGGTTGTCCCTAATGTCAAAGTCAAAACTACCACGCCAGCGCCATCTGTTTCGTCGTAGTTGGTATTTGAAGATAAAACACCAACTTATTGTGGGGCCGTAGTTAAATGAACCGTAACTAATGTGTTTCGCGTTTTAAAGTGTTTTATTTAAACTTTTAATATCTTAACACTGTGGCCTCAATTCGAATAAATGTTTCTCCGCAGACCGAACTTGAATTGAAGGATTGAGAGTTTTTTAATGAACCAATTCCTTTCATAGTATTAATCTTTGTATTAAAGTTTAAAGTTATATGTATGTTTGTAAGAAGTTTGATAAATCCGTAAACAAAAATAGTTTTTCGGCGGATTCTGAACCGTGGTTACACTTTTGATCCTAACCAACTTTGACCACATCTAGTTATAATTTTCGACCAGAAGGGTAGTTTTAAAAGTTATATAAATAAATTTTCGATCATGTTTGTAGTTAAAGAATACAACGCACAAATCTTAATTTCCGTTATTCATGTTTGATGTATTCAAAGAGTTAATCACTTTTACCTTATTATGTATCGAATTTATCACAACAATAATTAACAGTCTTTAAATCTTATAGAGCTTTAAGTAAAGTACGGTATAAGGCTATATGTTCAATTAAAAAAGAAATCTTTCTGTTTCGGGGGAGTACGATACTTTTGTACCATCGGTCACTAGAACAAACGAAATATCAATCTAAACATTACCAAGAAAATAATCAAAATGGTACAAGTATATTCAAAAGTTATGCTATCTCTTTCGTACATAGTAACAAACAGAGACGGACATATGTTTCTTAGCACACTTGTGTTACAACACCTTACACTAATCTCTGCAATATTAAAGTTCTAGTGTTGCCAGATGGACAGAACATTCGAAAGAGCACAGTTTTCGTACAAACACGTTTTTATAATTACACGCAGTCCTTGGGTGTTAAGTTGCAAAGTGCTATGTACAAAAACAGAATTATATAAAAATTATAGTGAGATTTACATAATCGTAATAAGTACTCCCACTGTTTATTAACCACTGACATGTTTATATATTATATTGATATGTTAGCATTTGTATTTATAAATCTCTGTTATAATAGCCGGCAATCTTCTTGAACAAAAAGCGGTGAATGAGGGCAAGTTCGCGAGTACACTTTTGGACATAATAATTGTCATATTTACAAGTATTTCTTTTTAGTGGACACTTTTGCTATAAAAATATAACAAACATGCATAAAATGTTTGCATTCTTTAAAACTTTTGCAACTTTTCTTGTATAACTTTTTCCTTTTACAACAATAAGTATCAGGTTTATAGTTTCATAAAAATGCTTCACCTTCCACCAAATCAAAGTTACTAGAAGCGGACTTTGGAGATCGTTTATTATCAGTGACGTCGTTAAAATTGTAATATATAAAAACGAAATTAAGTCAGCAAAAGTGCACGCAAGTGTATTTGTGAGCAAACTGAATATAAAGCCGAAGCGCGACGCGAAGGACAACTGCAGTGAAAGCGCGCTCGATCCCCCCGCGCTCCGTTTGTTCCGCTAAGACACCTACGAATCGACTCCCGCGCATCTTAATGTTCATGATGTTTGCCGGTTTATAACCAATTCTTTTTTAGGCTAAAACATCGTAATGGTATTGTAGTATATTTTCTATAACTGAGCAGTGAGAAAATCTTTATAGTAAATTATATTAAGTGAGAATGATGGCCTTCTAGATCAGACTTAGTCAGATAACGGGAAGCGCGATTTGGGGCAATAGAATACGAATTGAACGTAGTAGTGTATATTTGCACATAATATAGTATTATATATTCTATATCAAATGTCATTATATAAACGAATAGCGCAGTCTTATAATATTGGCATAGTGGTGTATTGTATCGATTAGTCTCAAAATCGTAAAATAGAGTTATAATCGTTAAACCGGTAACGAAACGATTTTCTTAAAACATTGCTATTATACAAGGAATACAGTAAGTCAAATACAGAAATATATGTTTCGGTGTAACTTGGATGCTTCTAGAAAACGTCTATGGAAACAGAAGGGTGGCGTTTGATAAGAAAATAATGTTTGTGCCTTGACATAGTGAGATAGATAAGGTGAGATTTTAAAATCGTTCAATTCTCATTCTATTGCCGTTGGTTGTGCTCCCGTAATGAGAAATTGTAACTATCTGGCTTTTTTGTATAGACTTTCTTATACACATTTTTGATGTATTTATATACATTTTGCGGTTTCGGTTTTCGGAGTTTAAAAAACGGTGCTCTAGTTACTTTATTTGTTACATTGTTTACGCGAATCGATTTCTTATATAAAATTTTAAAGTTAAAAAAAGGTAATGCACTGTTGACGATAATTTTTTATTTTAACAAATGATAATGATATAAAAAAAACTCTAGCGCCAAATCATTATTCTTCTTATATCTTCTTCTATATCCCGGTAAAGGCTGCAATAAGATGGTCTAATTTGAAAAATAAGATTAGCGCGCCATATTACATTTTCAAGTGCGCATGCGTGAAAGGTGCGCATGCGTGATATTGACCCATTAGGTTTCAAAATGAGTTTCAGTAGCGACGTCAGTTCGATCTTGTTTTTTTATTCACGCTTCTTATTCGTAGTCTTAAGCGAAGTAGTTTTATTGGTAACAATTTAATTAATTTTAAGTAGTTTAAAAGTTTCACTCAGTGCTCAAATTGCACGATCATTGTTTTAATAAAATTGGTTTACGATTCATAAGAAACAGACATTACTTCCCGGCAATATAATACATGTCGCAGTTAATACTTTTCGCTTACAGTATCTTAACATTCAACTAATAGTTGTTAATTTTTAGTCTTCCACTTAATTTCCTTGTATGTGAATTCATGTACATACAAAATCTTAAGGTCTAGTTATAAAGTTTAGTGCGCGTAAGTACCTAATATAAAATGAGTATTACCTTCGTTATCTATAGCAATATGTGTATAGACTTTTTGTAATAAAATTCGAAATGTAAAAAAAAATTAATGTTAGGGTCGTTACGCACAGTTGGATTATTTAGATTACAACGAAGTATTCTTTCAGCAAAGATATTATGCACTGTAAATAGTATTACACAAAATTTGGATAGTTCTATCGATATCGGAAATCTTTAAAATTTTTAAACTTCAATTTCGGAGTAGGACTTAAAATTCCCGCCATGACTTGTATTAAAGCATTTATTTACATAATGTAATATTTTTTATTAGTTATTCTGAATCTATAGAATAAGAAAAATCGAATCTAGTTTTTAGCAATCGACTAATTAAGTACATACTTTTACATTCATTTTATAGCTTTATGCAGCCAAATATATTTAATTTTTGGTTATTTTGGCTTCCCCTACTATATTTTTCACATTCTGTTCCACCTTTTACTATGCAATATTTGATTGGAGATTGTACAGCAATTTTGTCTAGCAATCAGTTTATAATTTTTTATTGTTATGTAATTAATAAATATTATGATTTGAATATTTTATTTTTTGTTTTATTTTTGTTTGATTATTTTTTTATTTAATTGTTCATAATACGTTTGAATATGCAATGTGAGCGTACAAGTTGTGACATTGGTTGTTTTACTTTGTGATTGTTTACTGAAGTTGTGCCAAAGACTATTTTTTGCTTAATTATATTAGTAATATTTGTTGATGATATTAAGTTTTGTAAATACTGACGTATTCATTCACGTTTCGAGTGAAATTGATAAACGAATAATATTGGAATTTAGATTTCGGGATAGTTATTAATGTAATGTAAGTCTAATTATAGTTCGTATAGGAGACGGCTCACATTTTTTCGTAAACTGTTCACATTTTACAATTTATAGACGCAATAGTTAAAAAACTTATTGGTTATGGAACCTAACTCGCAGTTACACAGTCACAATTACAAATAATATTTATTATTGTTTTGTAAGGATAAGGTAGCATATATAAGGAAAACGCGCACAATTTAACCTGTAGGATGGGGTCTAAGGATCTCGGTCTATTTAAGGAACTGATAACAATTTTGCTCTTAGCATGTATAAAAAATTAATCATATAAATAATAGTTAGTAAGCTGCGTTGTAAGTTAGTTTTTCGTATTTTTTATTATAATGATTATTTACATACATAATTAATTATATTTTATTTCTAGATATTCAATATGAAGCGACAATTTTTATATTTTTACGTATTCAACGTACTTGTTGTGTTTTTAATTAATACGTTTGGTTGTGGTTAAACGCAATGTGCCCCGAACATTACGTCATACTTGTGTTTACGCGTTTAGATAAAACACTTTTAACGGTTGTAAATGCGAAATATATTACTTAACTTAAATAAATATTGTCTGTGCGAGTAGTATATATTTAAAACACGTTAGCATATATATAGTTAAACTTATTGGAAAATTATTTTAACTACGGCCCGATTTTTCGTATGCTTTGCAGTAGCCGTGGTCATGGAGACGGGTCTAACTGGGACCACG